CACCATGGAGAACCAAACTTTCAATCTCCACAGCCAGGTACCAAATACAGCCATCCTAAAACCTTAGAAAATCATTTTCTAAAGAGTTCCCATCTGCAGATGGAGGAGAGTGAGGACCCAACTGAAGGGACAGTGTGACTCCACCTAGCTCCCTCTCTTCATATGGAGAGACCACCTCCAATAGGAACACACAGAGAGAGCCAGAACCTTAAATGTGTGAGAGTTTTAAGAGTGAACTGCAGTTTCCTCACTTTTGTGCCTTACAGGATGCTTTTAGCTGAGGGTGTCATAAAGTAAGGAGCTGTTCCCTTCTCTGCATTCTCTAAAGATGTCAGATCTTAGAAGATGTCAGTGAAAAGATCAACAGAAATAATTTCCTGGCATGAAGTCATGGAAAACTTGGAAAACCATTCCTTACCTCCTCCGACTGTTCACAGCAATACATACACCAAGTATCAATGCCAGTGCCAAGAGAGAAGCAACTACGATGAGCCAATCTGTGGATGCAAGTGGGAGAAAAAACATGGGAAAGTGTGTTTGCTTGTCATTTGACCAGACAGCTGACACAATTTCTTTAATATCCCACTTCACTTCCTCCGTTATTTTACTTCTATATGAAACAATGGAGCTTGAATACTTTATGAGGGCTGGTTTACACACAAAGTAAAAAGCTATTTCCTCCTTCCCTACCTACAACTATCTTTATGGGTTATGACTGTGTTCCCCCGCCCCCCAAAAAATATGTTATTAGTTGAAATTTAAGAAGCAAAGAAACACAATACTTCAGAAGAAAATACAACAAAAGTAGAAGTGTAATAATGATATGTTTCAAAAGTAAAGGAAAAGGGGGGGAGAGAGAGAGAAAGAAAAAAGTCTGTACATAAGCTTCCATAAAAGGGTTTTCAAATATCTAAAACATAGATATGTGCATACTTGTTGGTGATAACATTGTAATGCCCTCTATCCATTGAATTATGGGGGTAGGCATATACTTTTCCAATGCTGTAATGTTAATTTTCCGGCAACAGTAAAAGCACAGGGAGTCCACTTAGACAAACCAATAGCTAATCTCCAAGAATTAGGCAAGTAATTTAATAGCACTTTGCCTACAATTTTCTATATGGCTGGCTATGTATAGACAATTGTCCACATCTACCCTGATTTATATGAGGAAGGTTTCTAGCTAACACAATTATGGTCTTCCATTTACTTCCATTTGAGCGGTGAACATGTGGCACATCACAGCTCAGGCATATATGAGAAATAGAGTGGCACGCAGTTGAGTAGCAAGATTTAGCAACTGTTCTGATATGTGAAGGAGGACTGTAATAGCCTCAGTTTGGGTATGATGCACTTCACATGGTTTCACCCTTAAGAGGAAAAAATATGAACAAAGAGTATTTTGTGGGAAATAAGTATTTTGACAACAAATCAATACATGTAACTTGCTTCTGTCAGCTTCTGTAATGGGGCCTTGTTCCCTTCTCCCCTAGAACCTTCCATGTCCACCGAAAAATTTGCTCTAAAGGTTTTCCATGGCCTCAAGAGGAAGTTTTGAGACTGCACCGGGTTCCAGTATACTATAAATAGGATAACCTCTCTCCCTAATTGCCATACTGTATCCAGACAATCAAAATAATGGGGTTTGATTCCAAGTCAATATACTAAAATAATGGAATTCCTCAGATGTTTACTTTGTTTCCTGCTATTCAGGACCTAAAGATATATCCTCACACAAAGGGCCTCAGCAAATGAGACACTGGCCCTGTATCTAGAAACAGTACTCTCTCAAGTGGAGAAACTAGTGTAATTATGAAAACATATTAAAAACATAAATGTGCTTCTTTTTTAAATTATCAGTGGAATATGTCCATTAGACACAGGACTTCTCATTTCATGGATTTCATCCCCCAGAATTCACCAGGAATTTATTCAGCTAGAATTCTGGGGACTTTAGCCTAGAAATCAAAGTTCTCATAGAAATTTTATGCACAGATGACTTAGGAAGTTTCCATCAGCCATTTTGTTGTAGGAAAAGAGAAGAATTGAGTGAGAGTACCAATTCTTTGCATCAAGGAATTAGGAGACTGGTAATTCTTTGAAAGTCCTATTGGGCAGAGAGACCACCAGTTCCTTAATTCCTTACATTTCCCATGGAATTCAACCACTCCCTCCTATTTCCCCTCTATCTGCTGTGTGAGAGTCCTTAACTTAAATTCCCTGAGTCAGAACTTTCTGTATGTTAAGCATGTGTTCAGAATCTGAGCTATATGTACACCCATTCCAGTGATAGTAGGAAGAAGTGCAGGCATGAACCAAGATGACTTCATGCTAGGTATAAACGGCACCATTCAAAAACCGACCTGGTATGTGAGCCTTTCGTGGCTGGCTTTTTGGGAACTCTCCTGGTAAAGGTGTGACATTCTTTCCTGTATGAGACACTCCCCCTTCACGTTCCTCAGGGTTAATACCTAAATTGAAGACATGCACTGTTTTTAGCTGTGTTATATAAATCTAAAACCCATGACCTTAAATTTTCACAGAATAATGTATGGCATTCTGAAAGGAAATGAAGGAAGTTGCTAAGAATCATTTTCACAACACAACCATAATCTCTTGCATAAAGATAGTAAAATGCAGCAGCACCTGGCCCCAGATAAACCATAGTTCCTAGCTGAGGAGTCAACCAAGATTGAACAACTGGGTTACTTGCTTATTTTGCTCCCCTCCACAGTAGGAACTTCAGATCAGCAAACCATTTTAAAGCATTTACAGAATTTATTTTCTCTCCCAGAATATAAGACAGCTATAACAGCAAGAAGGAAATGGAGCATTCATATAGTGAGATGCAGTACTAAATTCTACAAGCCCTTTGTGGATAAGGGTCCATCTTTCATGTCCTTTGCAGGTCTTTCATGTCCTTTGCATTTTAATTCTGAAAAGTTGAATGCAAAGAACATTACCTGTACATTTAAGTAAAATAGCTTTATGTGACATAATCAACTCATGCCCCAACATTGCAGTGAAAACAACTTTCATGGTTTTAACAACTGTTTTCAGTGTTGGTGATTCAAGTAATATCCAAAATACAGTAAGTACATCTGATATTTAAAATAGGTGCACAGATTCCACATCACTGCATGTTTTAGTCTCTATAAAGTCACTATATGAGTGCCTAGAGGTGACAGTTGATCCAACAGTGTCATCACTTACAAGCCACAGAACTCCATTTAATCAACAAATCAAAGTGGATCAGAACACACCATCCCATATTACATACTGATTGCAAAACTCAATGTGATTACAAAATTCAGAGAGAAAGTCCAGTACCATTTGAATTCAGAAAGAGTATATCGCAAGACAACATTTACAGCAGAAAGTAAAGCAGCATTTATTATTCTGTTTTTGTATTATCTTCTCCCATTAAGTTCATAATGATCATCCACAAATAAAATGTGTACAACTCACACCACTTCCATGACAGTATGTATCCAAAAGCCAAAGGTTCGTTAGCATGTTATGCTATGACAGGCATCTCTTGCTGCCCATGTGCTATGGGCAAATATTCCTTGCTTAGAGTAAGGACTTAGAATTCCCAAGAGGAATAGGCCTTAGTTCTGCTCTCCACCATTATCCCACTCAACTGCTGTCTCACTCTGTCCTAAGGACTTAGTAGGTTGAAATCCAGTAGTAACTCACAACTAAAGTAGGCCCAATTTATCAATGGGGATTTGGTGAGTTATCTCCTTTATTCTAGTGATTCAATAAGCCTACTGTAGTTGCTACTTATTACTGGACTTCAGCCAGCAGAATACCTGTACAAATGCTTCCTTTCACTTCAGCCAGTCCTTATACTCTTAGAAAGGCAGAAGGGACCCTATGGATCATCAAGTCAAGCCCTTGTCAGAGAGGCACATTGGGGAATCAAACTCCTAACCTCTGGCTCCATAGACAGATATCTAAATCCCTGAGCTATCCATCAGTTATGATGAGAGTTTTCTCCATGTACTTCCTCACTTCCACATCAGAAATATTTAACAAATATGAGTAGGTGAGTAATAAATCCAAACCCAAGAATAATAGAGAGAGCAAGCTAGGGGACTGCTTTGAATGTTCCACTGGAACATCTCAGAAGGCTTTATCACTTTTGGACTAAACAGGATTATTATCCATTCAAGAACTGACTCAATGTATCTAGTCTAGCTGGGACTAACTGTTGGATTTAGGCCAGTGTTCTGGGACCATATTTGTTTTTAATAGACTGCTCTCTTGGCTTACTTGGTTAGATCTATTTAATTAGCTACCCTTTATTTTACTTTCTTCTGCAAAATGTTTCAGAGAAAATTTTAAGCCAAATAATGACTCCACATCATACATTTTATATAGGGCATGTCAGTTAATTTCCCAAGGAATGTAAAGCTATGTGGATGTCAGCCATTCGTCTGTAGCCATATTTACTTGAATATTGGAAAAGTAGCCACCAAAGTGAGCAAAGGGAGAAACATTCCCAGTCCACCTGCTCCCAATTAAATGTTTGTTAAGAAATAATGACACACCTCCTAATGCAAAAATGTTAATTAAAATAGTGTTGCAACAGCTTTGCAAGACACTGTGTAAGAGAAAGAATGCGCTCATAGTAAGAGATGTACCTAAAATCTAGTAGTTTCCATACCCTATTCCCTCAGCATTTAGAGGTATGAACAAAGCAAAGAGATAGTTGAAAGCCCTGGAACACTGAACTCTTACTGGCAGTAGAAGTCGAGGAACGTCTGTCAGAATCACTGCCAACTTCCGAAAAAACTCCAGGTACTCTATAATCTTCAGTGTTATTTACTTCACCGTTATTGCTCCCTCCTGGATGCAACCCATGCATTGGTGGATGTTGTGTTGATTCTTCACCTTTGGCTCCATCACTGGAGACCCCAACTGTTGTAATGATGATTGAACCAATTGTGAAGTGGGATATTTACAGAACCAAAACCTTTTCTACTAAATTCTTACTACACTGAAAGCTTAAAAAGAAGAAAATTGTGATGGTGTATATTGGCTGTAGTACAGATAAACTTCAGATTTTGTTATGTTCTTTAAATCAAGCTTTCCTCCAGTTGCAGAAAGTTACTAGAGTGTCTCCGGTAGTAATGGGCAAGAAGCAAGCTAAGGAAGTATCCTGTAGTTCAAATCTAAGCAGCACAGGAGCAAAGAATCATTTTCCTTGTTAAATTTGGCAAATGGTGACATTGTTGTGCCTGTATACACGTGGAAATATCTTAGGAGATGGACACTTGTGTGCAGCAGCTCCTATCTGTCCCATTAACTCACTCACATGCTTTAGGAAGTATTGTTAAAAGATATTACATTAAAAGCTATTGCATTTCACCTGCATTTTCATTCTTTATCTTTAAAAACTCAAAACACTGATTCAGTTGCATTCGTATTTTTGTTTTCACAAATAGTTAGTGTCACTGCTCTAATGGCTACAGATATTACTAATGCTCCAGTTATTAGATACCACTTTTGCTTGAAAAATCACTAGCAATTGATAGGAGGAAGCAGCTGTCTTATAGAGTACAACTAAACGATCTCAGCACACTGCCATCTTGAAATATAGGGTGATCTTGTCATTAATTGTGATAAAAAGGCACAAGTTAAAGGACTCTTAGAAGCATGGAACACACAAAAAAATATGCAAAGCAATACATTCATTTTGAGAAATGTTATGAGATAGTCTAATAAAGGGAAGAAATATGTGGTGGTAGAATAAAAAACTGAACATTGACAATGATAAGAAACTAAATGCAAAAATTTGATCCTTAGTGATGAAATGATTGTCTATTTATGTTATTTTAAAATACCATTATCTACATATGCCACATAAATTTCACAAGAGTCTGTAGTGGGAGTATTTGAAAGCCATTTCGGTCAAATTAATGTGAGGTTCCAATGATGCATTTACTTTTGTATTTTAGAAGGTCAGGCACACATACAGTACATGAGATTCTCAAATTTTCAGTAGCCAAAAGCCATTGGAAAGCCATGGCTATTGCATTCAAAACAGTTAGATTATTGTTGTACACTTCTTCTCATTTGTATGATGCTTCGACCACAGAAACAGAACAGTTATAACACTGGCTCAAATCCTGGTGCACAGCTATGCAAATAGCATAGCATAAGAAATCTCTGTATAAATTATCTCTTGCTTACTTAATTGCCCAGTTTGGTGTGCAACAGATATAATATCTATGGTTTTTTTAGCTTATGGAAACTCACCTTTATTTTTTTTCTTTTGTGTAACTACACAACAACACTTTATTAACCACCAAGTAATAAATTAAGTAGTGAATTCTACACACTTTAACATAAAAATATTAGTTTAGGAATCTGACTGGATAATTTCAAACCTAATATGCCATGAATTCTGTTTCCTTATTTTAGCTCTATGATGTCTTTTTCACATTATATAGTCAACTTAAATGCGTTGAGCTAAAACTTGGAAAACACAGCTTCTAGTCCCACTGTCAGTGTTCTACTGACAGTTCCTCAGTAACCTTAGATTAGCCATTTTTTCTCAAGCAGAAGCACAGTGCTGTATGATGCTCGTGAAGTCAGTGGAAGAAAGGTGACATAACTGTAATTAGCCAACCCACAAACCAACAAAGAAATCCATGTATAATGTATGTCAAGCAATAGGTTATGAAAGAATCCATATCATGGATATGGGGTGTTTGGGACTGGCCTAAACTGAGCTACTGACTTAGTGGGAGGTTCTTTGCAAACAAAAATCTCTCAAATTCAGCCTGTCATTCTGTCCAATGGAAAGAATGGCATACCCCATAGAGTATTCTTGGGATGCATGAAAATTTGTATGTACTCAAAATAAACACAGAAATTAACAATAGACAATTATTTGACCCAACAGAGAAAGGGGGAAGAAAAGATCCCACCACCATTGTACTGGATACCTGTATGATCAGTTTTATTTTTTTGATTTATTCCTCTCCGAGGAACAATTCCAGGAACTAAGACATCCGCTGGGGACTGTGTAGTGTACTGGTCCTCACTACCCCATTGACTCACTGGTTCAAGGGTTGAATCTTCTTTGGTCCCATGAAAAACCACATCTATGGCAACAGTAGAGTAATGAAAAAATGATAAATTTTCAGAACTATCACCTGTGTTTAACTTTGACCCATCAGTCTCCCAGCAGAACAGGTCTAATGTGCTTGTCCAAATAGAAGACAAAATGAAAGTGTGTCACAGTCTTGCTTGAAGGGATTTGTTATAACTTTGGATGTTCTCCAAATAACTCTTCTGATTGTGCATAAGTCCCACTCTATCCATCTGCTGCTCGCTTAATTTTCTTCCCTTGCCACCTAGGATCATGGATTGACACTGAGAGTTGAAATCCCCATGACACACGTGCCACACACTTTGGACTGATAAGAGTACAATTCATAAGCTACAAACTACCTCCCTGCTTGTTGTGACTGATCATTGACAAATTATGCCCAGCTTTCAACTTTCTCATTTTTTTACCTCCTTCTGTCTCCCATGCACCGTAAATTTGTTACAAGATTTAACCTCTATCTGTTCCATTTCAAATCACATCATTTCTAAATGTCCCTTTCAGCAAAAATCAATGTATTCTTTCAGTGGATGCTAATAATAAAGGATGAGTTAGTAAGAATGTCAAAAGGTAGAATGCAAGATACAGATTCTGAACAACCTCTTGCTTCTTTTAACATGCTCAGAAATTAATAGCCATGCCCTATAGACCAGTATTCAGTCTGCAGATATAAGGCCCTTGATCATGGTATGGGTACTAGCTTAGTTCAATAATTTGGACATTAATAAAATATATCATCATTAAATAAAATGCATATTGAAAAGCTGTATTTTTATTTCATGTGTCAAGTTGAAATGAACACATCATTCAGAGCAATACCTGTAAATGAAAGATCATGTTCATTTTTACTATCCGTATCAACTTCCACCAGCACATCATCTCTAGAAGTATTAGTGGGATATTTTTCTTCAGGGTCCCAGCCAGGCTGATGGGTAGGAGGTAATGGCTCCTGAGTTGAGTCTTCAGGATCATTGTGTACAATAACTGTTTGATGAACCAACAATGAACTTAGGTTTGGATATTTCAAATACACGTTGGTGTCTTATCCAAACCAACCACCTCCCCTCGACTGACCACCCATTCTTTGTTTATACTTCTAAGAACTTCCTTTTAAAATAGAACCTGAACAGATTTTATGCTCAATATACGACTGTCTGTATTATTTATTTATACTGTCAAGAACTTTCTTTTTAAATAGAGCCTGTGCAGATATTGTAGACTGTATATGCTGGACTTCATTAGTTGACCAAAGGTAAGAATCCAGGAATGAAGAGAAGTGGAATTACCCTAAGAGACTCCCCAGGCCCCATATGATGAGAAACTGATTTTTCATTACTACCTGTATGAAATATTTTCTCATCACTACTGTATCCAGTTGGTGGAATATTTTCCAGAAATATGTCATCTTCTGTGTTATTTGTGTGATAATTATCTTCTCTGCCTTGTTCTTGATGTAACATTGGATCACGCATAGCATCTTCATGTTTGGCATCATTGCTGGAACTTTGAACTGTTATAATGGGCAAATGTTTGGATATTACATAACATTTGTACAGCCACTTCCCACATAGTACAGTTAGCAACCTTTTGAATTTTATTAATATGTTCACTTCCACTCTCTCATTCAGGTTGCTTGTCATGAAGTAATGGTCCTTTTGTAACATCTGCATGCCTGCTACTATCATTGGAGGCAATAGATGTTGCAATAATGGGTTGAATATTTTCAAGTGGTAGGTTTGAATGGTTATATATCTCAATGTTCACTAATCCCTACATGGTGTTGAATATGCTACCAATTTTCTGACATGAAACCTATGGCATATAGTTGTAGACTGAATAATCTCTGATATAGCACAAGAAGTATTAAAATTATTAAAATTCCTTTACTTAGCTGTTACTTGGTGGCTAAAATCCTATTTAGTATAAGGCAAACCATGACTTTTGATCAGTTTCTCCCCAGTAAACAAACTGTCCCTGATTTGATAACTGGGGGGTGAGGGGCATGTTCATACTAGTTTGTTGCATGCATGAATATGCCCCAAGTATCACAGCAGAGATGCTTGGTTTACTAGGAAACATCAGATTGAAAATCATGATTTGGCTTACACTAAATGACAGGATTTCAGCCAATGAGATGTCTTCATGATTGCTTCAGATTTCAAGAATTATTTCAGACAGGAAATCATTTCTAGATACTTTACAAGAACAGCTTTGACAATCACTGTTTAAAAAAGGTAAACAAATGTTTTAAGCAGAACATTTGTTTTCATTGTCCCCTATTAAGGTACACAACATACCCTGTACGCTATTAAGGTACACTACATACCCTGTTCCGCTGAAAATAAGACCTAACCTGAAAATAAGCCCTCGTACGATTTTTCAGGATGCTCGTAATATAAGCCCTCCCCCCCAAAATAAGCCCTAGTTAAGTGAAACCCCACCCTCCACCATTGTGCAGCAACCAGAAGATGACATGACGGTAAAATAAAACATCCCCTGAAAATAAACCCTAATGCATTTTTGGAGCAAAAATTAATATAAGACCCTTTCTTATTTTGGGGAAAACTCAGTATATGTTTTTTAATATTGTAATTTGTTGTGTTTTAATTGCACCATGGATGAAGACATGCCTGGCAAAATCCATCTTGCCTAGAACATTTGGTCTTTAAGTTCTCCACACTGGTACTAGCCTGATGGTGTTTGATCCATGAAAGCTTACATATTTATAATGATTTTAGTGGTCTATAAAGGTATCACCTATTTTTGCATTTGTATTTTATTTTGTATTAACCATACAGCTCCCCTTTGTTTCAAGAAAATAAAAAGTTTACAAACATCTATATTTATTTATTTTTATTTTTTCTGGCTGGTACCTGTATGTGAAGATTCCTTTTCATGATCACTTTCAGTTGGATGTATAATTCCAGGCAACAAATACTCTCCAGATGTGTTTGTGAGGTATTTTTCTTCACTATCCCATTCAGAATGTTCCCTGTGCAACACTGTGTCATGGGATGAGTCTTCGTAGTGAGTGCTACTGCTGGGAACTACTGTTGTTACAAAGATGGTTGAGTCAATGTTACATACTGTACTGTGCTTTTCTTACTGCTTTACTAATTACTGTTCTCACTGAAGGAAATGTAAGTTGACTTAGAATTACACTCATTCTCTTCTATCTGCGTTCTATCTCTATATAATCTTAAAGAAAAACAATATCTAATCTAGGTAGGAAAACTGATAAACAAGTGTCCTCTCTTTTCCTTACTGGTATCCGTATTTGACGTTTAAAAAATCCCTGCTACCGAATGAACTCTAGACTAATTCACTCTCCCAGGAAGCTTATCTTCTATCCATCAAATTGTATAGCCTGTCACCCTGGAGACAGAAGCCGTCATGATTATGGTTGGGGCTATATAATATGCTTTTCCTTCCTCTGTGGTCCACAACATATAAACCACCACATGGCATCATACACTAGTCAATTGCTATGGTCAGCTGCCATAGAGTCACATGGCTCCACCTCTGGTATAGTACATCATTTTATACAGCTTTATAAAGACCTTCTCTACATCTATTCCAAATTTGAGTGTATGTCAACAGAACTTAGCGACTGAATTTAGTTTACTATCATACTGCATTTAACACAGTTCCTATCTGAGCAAAGGCCTAAATCCAATTGTTACTGTCTAACTCCATTAAGTTAACGACCCTTCAGTAAGCCAACACCTATATGGTTTTCATTGACATAATAGGCCCAATCTGTTGGGACTAAAATTGGATTTACCCCTAATTGGATCAAAATTGTTATTGTCCATCTGTCATTGGAATGCACAGTGTCAGCAGAATGGATTCCCTCTCCCCATTCCCAAATCTGGTCTGCTGGGTGACAGGACCCTCTAGAGCAGGTGCAGGGAAGCACATGGGAGTAATGGTTTCCAGGAAAATGAAATTCCAATTTATGAGCAATATTTGGAAGAATGCAGAAAAAGTCTAATCTAAACTCGTATATGTGAAAAACAAAAAAGGTGCCATCTTTTAATGTTTACTCTCAGTCTGATAAACAATTCAATGTAAAAGATCATATCTACCTGTGCTTATACTACAGTGGCTTTCACTGCTGGAGACAAGGGTAGCCTATTTTATACCTCCCTCAATCATAAGAAACATTTTTGTCATCCATACAGTTGACTATTACAATGGCGATTGAATCTGTTTTAAAGGTTATGTTTGCATAGCCTCTCCCTTCTCATTCACTGAAATCCATTTTATTGACATTTTATGGTGCTTTATGAACACCATCAGAATTCTAGTGAAATGGCCGAGAAAGGAGAGTGTATGTGCCCAGAGTAGACCTTTGGTCTAGATGGGCGGGATAGAAATCCAAGAAATAAATACATACATAAATAGATAAATGGATAAATGGATAAATGAATAAATGAATGAATGAATGAATGAATAAATAAATAAATAAATAAATATGTGACCATGATCTAACAGAACTAACTCTTTGGATTCCCAAATTAGAATTACATCCTAAAAATACATTCTGAATGTACTAAGAACATCTGGAGAAATAAAAATACCATCCCAACATTCAATAGGAATTCTGTCTATAAAAAGAAGTACACTTTTATCATACGCTGGGTTGGCAGTAGCTGGTAGGAACTGGGAGGGGGGTTGACAGGTTCCCCAGTCCTGATATATAGTCTAATCTATATAAACTTTAACCTTTCAGAAAGTTTATTTCATCTTACATTTTATTGATTCACTGTACATGAAGTGAGTGGCTGCTGTTTTCATCTGCATCTTGAATTTCTTTAATTGCCTGTAGATTATTGCTAACTCTTCTTAAAACTGCAAGCTACCAGGGAAGGTTCTGTCTTAAAGGCAGGGGAGGGGTATAAATTATTCAAAGACATTCAGGCATTTTGAAAGATGTATTATCTTTTCTTCCTTGTACCTGTATGGGATATTTCCAAATATTTGTCATCTTTGCTTTCACTTGTAGAAGCAATGCCAGGGAGAATCCCATCTCTAGATGTATTTGAAGAATGTCTGTCTTCATGGCTTCCGACAGAATGGACCCCATGGATCAACGTATTATTCGTAGAATCTTCATTGTTAGTCTCATCGGTGGCAACCACAACTGTTACAATGATGGTTGTTTAGATCAGAGGCATGATTTTACAAGCACATCTCGTACAATATAGAGTCAACTACTTCTACTAAGATCTGTATATTCAAGGAGGTTAGCCCAAGCCCCTTTGATTTGAGTGAAGCCAATATGACAACTTTTGTAGGAAATGGTATAACATGATTTGGGGATGAGCAGAATTATGGTTTTCTAGAGAGTACCTGTATAAAATGATTCATTTTTATGCTCGTTTTCAACTGGAGGAACAATTCCAGGGGCCACTTCTTTGCTAGATGTGTTTGAGAGATGGATTTCTTCACTGTCCCATTCAAGATGTGTACCATTTGACACTGGGTCTTGAGTAGATTCTTCATGTTTCATCCCATCATTAGATCTCTCATCTGCTTTGATGATGAAGCATTTTGAGAATTTTATGTTTATAGAATCAGTGCCTATAATCTCTTCTGCACTTCTGTTTACACTCTTATCTTGGAAAAAGAGTGGCACTTGCTCTGTAAGCACTCTTATTTAGGTATTTATCTAACTTCTTAGATAATCAGTGCTTTCACAACCCTATTAATGCCAGCAGAAATACTTTAAGCCATCAGGTTTTGTAAATGCCAAATAATGCAGTTAAAATGTATGAAAAGGACAACAACATAAAAAGAGAGAAGTGGTATATCCTAGCTTGTTTATTTCACAGAGTCCAAGCATGTTGGCTGGGTGTTTTTGAACCATTCCAATGAATAAAAATAATGTTTCTTTAATTAAATATAACTAATCCACACAAAAAGGGACATGGTGGCGCTGTGGGTTAAACTGCTGAAGCCTCTGTGCTGCAAGGTCAGAAGATCTGCAGTCGTAAGATCCCCGCCAACCTAGCGGTTTGAAAGCATGTAAAATACAAAAATGCTAGAAGATAAATAGGTACCACCTTGATGGGAAGGTAAATGGTGTTCCGTGTCTAGTCACGCTGACCACGTGACCACGGAGGATTGTCTGCGGACAAATGCTAGCTCTATGGGTTGGAAACGGAGATGAGAACCGCCGCCTAGAGTTGGACACGACTGGACAAAATTGTCAAGGGGAACCTTTATTTTTACCTTTACCTAATCCACACGACTTGGCCCCATTAATGATTCCCTTTTTTATTATTGTCAGTATTTCTGAACAAAATAATATTTCTGTTTAGCTAGACAGCCTCTACTCCATTATTAAAGGAAGCTTCTGTCACATTATGCCCCCCAAAGCTGATTGGGGTTGCTAGGAGATGTCATTCAAGCCAGTAACCTCTCCAAGTGACTGCTCTCACACTAAGATGCACTTAGTGTGCTAATATCTCAACATTCAGAATATACTTTAAATTAGGTATTCATAGGCCTAGGCCACATATGTGACCGATGGAGACATGTGGATGTATTGCCAATATGTAAAACTTTTACAAAAACAGTACAAGGGAAGAGATCATCTGGTTTGAAACACTGGTGCAGAACAGGGATTATCCATTTCCTCCTGTTCATTTTCCCCCCAATTACAATCTTTTCACTCCTTCCTAACTATGTACTTAGCTCACCCTGCTAGGGAAAGCACACAAACTCTGTCCTTTACCTTCTCATCCAGCCCGCTGCCCTTAAGTGTGGCAGAGGCAATGAGAGAGTTCTAAAAAGAGTCTACCTCCCTGGTATTGATATGCACATTTCCTCTGTCTTATGAGGTGCCAAACTGAAAGTAAAAGAAATATAGCTTTCTTTTAGGATTATATTTAATTACATGAATTAATTAGCCCGACTGACAATACCTGTCTGAGAAAGCTCATTTTCACGATCACGTTCATTTGGAGAGGTAAGTATATTTACGACATCAGTGATTGTTCTGTTTGTGGTAGAACCTCCTTGACTCCTCCGTCCAGGTTTACCCGCAACTGACAACGGTTCCTCCTCTGCTTCTGCATGTCCAACACTCTCATTGGAGAATGTCACTGTTGTGGTGATGATAAATAAGGCAGGAGTAAATACCTCCCCTGCTTTGGCTTTTCAAGTCCTTGGCAGGTAATGGCTCAGAGCCAAACTCCTGAAGATGTTTTAATAGCCTCCTAGGCATTCAGATCCCCCTATTCACTTCAAATTAAGTGAATTAATTAAATTAAGGGAAACCCATGCTTGCTTCTTTTATACACAATTGTCATATCCATAGAAATGTACACAAAACCTACATCAGAGCACAGAAGAAGAAAAATTCAACTACAACTGCCAGAATCCCCTGGACAGAATGGCCAAAGGCTGGCTGGGGCATTCTGAAAGTTATAATATCCAAAAGTAACTTTTCCAAACTCTGTTCCACAACCAAAAGCAGTGACTATATCAAAGTGAGTCTACAATTGTTGTGCAAAAGATTCTAGCCAATATTTAATCATGACTTCAACCCTTAAAAATTATTAAAATATTTTGTTAAAAGGAAAATGAATGACTAATAGGCAACTAATGATGTTTGGATGAAATCAGTTAATTCTCTTCATTGACAGGTTTATATCAACTATTATTATTATTAT